CAAAAAAAAAAGCCAAAGTAATTTCTCAAAGAAAATACTTGCTTCAGGGAGTTCAATAAGATAATATACATGGTGTTTACCTTGTTGCTATGCCATTGGTAAGGAGCAATATTCTATAGTACTACTTTTTATATTGAAAATAGACGGTTTTATATAGAATACATCAAAAAATAAATAACGCTATCGTTTTCAGCATGAATGAAAATGTTAAGAAGTTATATTAAAAAAAATCAAAAAATTGGAAATTTTTGACCATACTACCACCTTAATGAACATAATATATTTTATTATGTGCATGAAAGTGATAAAAAATAAAATAGCTAATTGTAATTAACTGTATCCGGGACTCAAAAGTGTATTTGTTTATTGCTGCTGGCTAATTTGTTTATTTTTTTTTTTTTAGGTACATAAAATATCAATTACCTCTATCCGGAATTAGGTGTTTTTTTTTTGGCTGGTAGCAAATTTGTTTTTTATTTTTTTCAATTTTTTCAAAAGGTAATTTAATTTTTTTTAGGTTAAAATAATCAGCATAAAATTCTGCACAAAATAGTGTTTTTACTTTTTTAATTTTTTTGTTGCAAGTCAAAGTTTTTTTTTTCCTTTTTTTTGTTTTTTTAGTTATGAGAGATTTCAAATTGAAATCTTTCATGATTGCATTAGTTTATATAACTTTTTTTTTATTTTTCGATTTGTCTGGTAAAGACGTTTATTAATTTAAAAAAATTATTCATAAATTCATTTTATTAAGGGAGTTATGAAACTTTTTACTAAAACCATCCGGAATTAGGTTACATCCGGAATTAGGGGTTTTTACGGTATATATTTACATTTTATATAAGTTACATATTTTATACAAGTTATATAATTTAAGTTATATATATTTTGTATATTTCATTTAAGTTGTATATTTTGTATAAGTTTTTATATAATATTACTAACTTTTTTCAGACCCAACATAATATGCTTTGAAATAATTTTTTTTTCATAGTATTAGGAAACTGTCTGAAGAGTCTTAGACAACCCTAAAAATATTTTTTATTTAAAAAATTTTTTAATCCAGTATTATGTATTATATTATGATATAAAACACATTTAAATGGTACCAGCAGGTATTTTATATTAAAGTCGTTTTAGAAACAACATTTTATATTAAAGTTGTTTTAGAAACAACATTTTATATTAAAGTCGTTTTAGAAACAACATTTTATATTAAAGTCATTTTAGAAACAACAAACAACAAAAATGTCTTCTCCTATCTGCTAAATACGTTCTGTATAACAAAATGAAACTGAATTTAAAAAATACCTGATAAAAATTTCTATCAGGGGTTACTCAAGACAGTTATATATTTGACAGGTTTCTAATATTATCCTAAGTTAGCTTCTTTAAAAGCAGGGTGAAGTAGGTAGTATGGATAGAACTTAAGCTATTTTTCCTTACATTTAAAGTATATATAATAACTTCACAATGAATAGGACATAAATATATTTTCAATAACAAGTTATTATTTTTCTAACAACTGTTTATATATCATTTCATATACAACTTATACATATGAAATTTACATAAAAACATGGTGGACGCATAGTGATATATGTTAAAAATCATCTATCATGCTCAGAAGTTTCCATAACTTTTCTATCAAGCCTAATTGAACAAATTTGGCATGAATTTATTATTGGTGAAAACAGAAATTTTATTAGAAAACATGAATCGTCCTCCATATAACTTAATCAAATCAAATCAATGAATCAATGAAATTAACCTAAAGCTGTATAACCAAAATCTATTCAAGCATACTTGTGTTGTGGTGATTTTAATTATCAATAAATAACATGGGATTACAATGGTATAGTATCAATATCAAGATCTGACCATCCAGATGCTCATATTTTTGCTGATATATTTTTAGGCTTAGAATTGCATCAATTTGTACTAAAACCAACATTTCAGTCTAGTGAAGGAATTTTAACAAGTGTTCTAGATCTAATTATGTCTGAATCACCAATTAGAGTCTTCAATATCAATTACAACAAGCCAATCAGTGCAAAAAATAAAAACTATTTAGTTTTAATGTGGAATTTTTCAATTTTTTTCAAATGATAAAAATCAGTAAAATTTATCAAATGTTTGTTTGAATTATAAACAAGGTAATTATAAACAATTTTGGCAAATATTTTTCACAAATTGAATGGGAAAAAGTTTTCAATGAGCATGATATTGAAATATCTTATAAAAGACTTTTGGATTGTTATACATCTGCATGTAATAAATATATACCAGTCATTAGCACAAGTATATATAAGCAAAATTTAAAATAGGTAACTAACGGTAACTAACGATGTCAAATCACTAATTAAGAGTAAAAATACTTTATGAAAGCTTAATAGAAATTCTAGTTCAAAATTTAGACCAACAGTATAAGTTATTTAAAAAAGAAGCTGAAAAATAAATAAATTTATCAAAGAGGAAATATGAAATGCAATAATAAAAAACTTCAGGTATACACCAAAACAATTCTACTCATATGTTAAACATAAGGAATTAGTTCATGGTTATATTAGGAGAATAAATAATCAAGATGGTTAGTCATTAAGTAATGGGTTTGATACTGTCAATTAATAAAATAATCAATTTAAATCAGTACTTTTACAACAAGAAAACAATTAAATACCAAATTTTTCTATTTGAACAGATAAAGGTTGTCCGATACCAACTTTTACTGCGTCAAACGTATACCAACAATTATTAAAACTAGGTCCCTACAAGAGTATTGGTGTAGATAATGTGCATGGATATGTACTAAAACAATGCGCATCCAGTTTTTTAAAACCGTTAAGTATTCTGTTTAATATATCGTTCAATAATTCTAAACTGCTTGATATTTGGAAAGCTTCAAATATAACCCTGTTATTTAAAAAGCGTAGTAGATTGATTTCAGAAAATTATAGACCTGTATCTTTAACCTCTATTGTATGTAAGGTCATGGATTACATTATAAAGGACTGCAACTTTTAACTTTTTAGATGGTGAAAAGTTATTGAATCAGAATGAACATGGTTTTTTGAAACATAAATCATGTGTTACCAATTTAGTAGAATCTATGGACTTAATTACATGTCATTTATCGCCAAACTCGCTTGTAGATATTAGTTTTTTAGATTTCGCTAAGGCCTTCAACTCAGTACCACATTAGAGATTATTGTAAAAATTATCAGCTTATGGTATATTAGGAAAATATTGAAGTGGATTGCAGATTTTTTATATTCACGTAAACAACGAGCTCTTATAAGTGATTTTGTATCAATTTTTGTGATGGTCTTAAGCAGTGTTCCACAAGATTCCATGCTCAGGCTAATTTTGTTTATCATTTTCATTAACGATTTGAATGAGATCATCACAAATAATTCAAAATTTTATGCTGATGATTCAAAGATAATAGCTGAAGTAAATAATTTGACACAATGACATTACAAGGTCATCATTACAAGGTCATATTGATAATATTTTAAATTGGTGTAAAGATTGACTAATCAACTTAAACATCAACAAATGTAAAGTTATGCACATTGGCAAACAGAATTTAATGTACAATTGTAGTATAAATAAAGATGGCACACAGCTAGTCTTAGAATCGTCGAATGAAGAAAGAGATTTAGGAATCACAATAAGATCAGATTTGAAATGGAAAAGGTAAGTGTTAAATGCATGTAATAAACAAATGCCATAATTGGTTTGATAAAAAGAATATTTGGCATAATAAAAGTACAAATGATAATTTTTTTGCATAAACCATATATGCGACCACATTTAGAATATGCTAGTGTAATATGATGTCCCTATCTAAAAGGCAATATAGAAAGGCTAAAAAGAATTCAATGCAAAGTAACAAAAATCCCTTCAGAATTAAAAGATTAATGGTATGAAGAACGCCTTAAATATTTGAATTTAATCAGTTTGGATTAAAAACGACAGCGTGGAGACTTATTCCAAATGTATAAAATTGTTCATGGGTATGAGAAAAATTTATTGGTCAAATTTTATGCTTCCAGTTCTTGATAAATCTGGAATTCATATGTGTAGGCAAGGGCATAAATTGAATATTAAACTAATAAAAAATTGTCCAGCAAGATTTAATCTTTTTACAAACAGAGCTGCGAAATTGTGGAATACCTTAAAACCAAAGATACTAATGCAATATCATTAAGCTCATTTAAGGCTATTTTATAGTCCAGATATGATTACTAACATTTACATTCACAATGGTGTTGTAGCCAGCGACGTTAAAAAATAGATGCTTGTTTGTTGTCTTGTGGTTGTCGTACTCAAGAAACAGCTTTGTTTGTATGGGTATGTTATATTATAGTAATGGCTGCAATAACCTACTGATAGGTTTTGCAAGGATAAATTATCTCTGTTTCAGTATTGATATACTATTATTATTATTAATATTATTATTATTATATATCTCATTTATCTCATAAATTTAAAGTATATGTACAATAGCTATGACCCTTGCACCCTCACAAAGTTGGTTCAAATTAGTTTACAATTTACACTTGTATGGCTGAAGTACACTATTCTTTTAAGAACAATAGGCGCTCTTTTTTGTAAATTATATATATATATATATATATATATATATATATATATATATATATATATATATATATATATATATATATATATAATATATTATATTATATATATATATTATATTTATATATTCTAGTTATTTTAATATATTTTCCAGATTATTATTTATTCCATACGAAAACCTGTTTTTCTTACATACTGTAAAAGTTAAGACTTACCATTATGTTTTTATAGTATTTATAAAACCTTAGCTTTCAAAAGAAGAGCAAGCAAGAGTAGTATGGTAGCTATGACAAAATGTAAATTGTAAAGTATATTGTAAGATAGGTCATTACAACCACCATAACAATCATTATCACCTTAAGAACTAAAGTGCATATAAAAAATAAGTTAAAAATTACATTTCTGCAGTCTAGAGCATTTATATCAGAACCATGTTGAATCAAAACATTGCAAATTTCTTCATTTCCTTTACTAGCTCCTAAATGAAGAGCAGTAGAACCATGAATATTTTTTATGTTGACATCTGCACCATGTTCACATAAATACTTTGCAGTATCTGTCATATTATATCTAAAAACACAATTTTAAAAGAGTTAAAAGACATTTAATTTATGACATTTATTATAAACTTTAATATTTATACATTAACATTTATACCTTAAAAAAATAAAATTAAAAAACTCAACATTATTTTAATAATTTAAATAAATTATAATTTAAACTTTATTTTTTATTATTTAAATATTTAAATAATTTAAAATTATTTAAACTTTATTTATTTTTTGTGAAAAAGTAACCAATTAAGACAAAACTTTTGCACATTTAAAATAAAACAAAACAATATAACAAAATGGCAAAAAAAATAAAACAACAATATGGCAACAATGAACAAACATTTATTATGTTTTGAAATTTTTAATTTTTTATTTATGAATAAAAAATTGTAACCTTGTTACCAATTGTAAATAATTTGAGATAAAAATAGCGATTTGATTTCACAATTACAATATCTTTATTTACATCTCACAATAGTATTTTCATAGGTGGATATCTCTATCCTCCTATGAAAATACTATTGAGTTTTGAAATATTATATTTACAATTGTATTATATTTACAATATAATATATAAAATATAATATTATGGAGAAATTATCATTATACTGTGGAGAATATTTCAAAATGAGCAGTTAAATTTTATTAATAAGATTATGGTACTTTAGATTCAAAAAATGTCTTTAAAAAAATCTTTTTAATTTTAGCATCAACATAGTAATATTAAATTTAAATGATTTCTTCAATTTATTGTCTTTTTTGACATCATCATTAGAAAGATTTCAAACCAATTTTCATTAAACAGGTTTTTGAGTTGTATCACAATAGAGATTATTTTATTATATTAACTTAAATCATATACTAATAATTCTATTAAAAAATCATTAAAATACAAAGCATGATTAATAACCAAAATGTAAAGTAAAAAATTGTAAATAATTAAAAATGAAGAGTATTCAAAATAATTAAAATCAAAAGTAAGTACTTTGCAGCAAGAAGAAGTGGCGTATTATTTTCTACTTCTGTAGTTTTATTTATCTGTGATCCATTTTCTAATAAATATTTAACAACTTTTAATCTATTAAATCGAGATGCTAAATGCAATGGAGTGCAACCTTGCAAGTTTATGCAATCAATGTCTTCAATGTTATAACAACATTCTTTAATAAGAAATTTAACTTGATCAATTGAACCCTCTATTGCAGCTTGATGGAGTAAAAAAGATGAGATGCTACTCATTGAGCTGTTCTTTTGAGTTTTAAAACCATTTTTAATTTTTAAAAGTTGATTTGATTTATTGGCATTATATTTGCCTCTGAATTCTGCTTTATTTTTGTTATTAAATGGTGAAATCTGAGTAATTGGGTTTTCAACATTATCTGCCATCAGAATAAACCTAAATTCAAAGTATTACATTTAATCATGCAAAAATAAATGTAAAAAAACAAACCTATATTTAAGTGATTTTAAGTAGTACAAATTTCTTATGGCTTTTTTATTTATCTTTTTTTTTTATTTATTATTATTATTATTCTTTATTTATTATTTTTATTCTTTTTTTTTTATTTATTCTTTTTTATCTAGGAATTTTACATCTGTATCATAATATACTCTTACATCTATAAAAAAAAACACTTACATAAATAAAAGTTAAAAATAAAAAAAGCACTATTTTAATTAAATATTCAAGTTAACTATTGAAACAATTGTTGATTTGCAAACTACAAAATCCCTAAAGGAAATTAATGTAACGTGCTTGGTATTGTTATTTTAGGGTCAAAATAACATTATACAAAATTGCAATGTACTATTTATCTTAAACTAAATATAACATGTTAGTGTTTCAACAAACAATACAAAACTTTTTCAGTCATTGACTCGAATGGCATAGAATCTATGCTATGATAGATGAAACTGCACTACTTTACAACTCTTTAGTTGTTTTTCAAAACATTATTTATTTAGTTAAAACAAAATTAGCATGACAAACTGTGTTGTGATTTCTGATTTTCGTATTTGTTATGTTGTTATTGCACGTTGTTATCGTTTTTGTTGTTATTATTTTAGGAAAAAAGAATTAAACAAGTAAATTTGCTTTCAGTTTTAAAATCAAAATTCGGTTCCACTTCGTGGAATTCTAAAAATACAGATTTGTTTCGCGAAATGCAAACGGCGCGCCGTTTATATAAATACATACCACTGTGCAAATCCATTTTATAGTATCGTCAAATGTTTGAAAATTTTCTTCATAATGTTTAACTATTCATAATGCATAAACTACTTGACTTGTTGCCAAAAAATGCTAAATTAAAAAATACGCCAGACACTCTTTTATGAACTTCAAATCTACCAATGGGTGCAAAGGTCAGTGCAGTATTGTGACTAAGCCTCTTACAACACATCCGCGAGATCTGCCACCTAAAAGAAAATAACTTGAAACAAATTATAATCAATTGTTTGATGATGCGGACAATTCTTGTAGTGAAAGTTCAGAAGATAATATTAAAAGCAATGATTACACAATCCCATTGAAACCTGCAAAGATCACCGGTAAAATGGTTGCTAAGATATCTGAAAATGAAGAGAATTCAATAAACTGTACAGCAAAGATTGAAGATGCTGTACTCAATGCAGTTGGTGAGACATTGATTTGCAAATCCGCAGTGCAAAAAGTATCTATAACACTCATGCCTCTTTTGAAGAAATGTAATGCTTACATTTTGATGGTAAGAGCGTAGACAAACATGTAATGCTTACATTTTGATGGTAAAATTGAAAAAATTGGATGGTAAGAGACAAACAATATTATTGCAGGACTTGCATTTCAAGCAAGTCTAAATTTTTGATTATATCTTTGAAAAAATTAGAGAAAGATACCTCTGTTTCTATAATATGTTACACAATATTATTCTGTTTATAATATGTTACACAATATTATTTTGGAATTTAATTTTATTAAATAAAATTTCCGTTTTAATATGTGATTCCACTGCAGTAAAAACAAGTTCTGAAAATGAAGTAAATGAACGTTTCACAAAAATTGTTCTTGACCTGATTTTTAAGCATTTTATGAACTCAAAGTTTGGTTCCTTATTAACATCGCCTAATATTAGCTACTGGTTCATTAATGAGTTGATTAGTAACTACCATGAGTTAATTGAAAAATACAAGCTTAATGAGCCAGTTGTTAAAAGTAAAAAATATGGCAGGAATGATTATACGAAGCTGGATTTGTTATGTAAAGGATAGAAATCTTATCGAGACACAATGAATTTACCCGCGATTCATTTTTCTGAATAAGAGCCTTTTTTAAATGCACAATGGAATTCAAGAGCTATCTATTGTTTGAAATATAAGATTTGAAAAAAAAATCAATAATAGAGGCGTGCAATTTTATTGTAGATTACTTTAAGATCACATAAATTTTTGTTATGCATCCTTAAAACTGAATTCACACATATTTGCATATATCAGACCTTTTTTTATTTTGTAGTCATGTTACACCCCCCACAGTATTTTCAACAATTTTAATATGAGCACTAATTGCTGAAGAGCTGCTTTACAATTATCAAAACGACCCGGATTGTAACTTTGCACTAAGCAAAACATTTAAAAGCATATTTTACATTTTCATCACAAATTTTATTGTACCAATTTTTTGTTAAACTAACAATACTTTTTTTTGTTAAACTAATGACACTCTTTTTTTTGAAAAGACTAGAAACTACTCATAAAAACCACAAGCTTGTTAATGATCTACCAAAAGTCTACAAACTGAAAACACTTCTCTTTTGGAAAGCTCACGCGGGAACACATCGATATCAGTTTGTCACTAACTTTGCGCACAAACAAACCGAATACACAAATTAGCTCAAATCTTTACTAATCAAGCAATAGCTTAACAGAGCTAACCTGCAGACACGGAGCAACCTGCAGACACGGAGCAACCTGCAGACACCTGCAGACACCTGCAGACACGGAGCAACTCCAAACCATTATATGTTTATACTTATGTCAAATAAGGATGCTTTTCAAAAAAAGAAAATCAAGACTGGTGAAACTGGCCTAATTAAACTCTAATATCCTAACAAGAGACAACATTTTGCAAATGTTGCCACAAAGTCATTTAATTCCATTTTTAAATTTTATGGGGATAATGCAATTTTAGAATTTAAAATATTAAAGTTTCAAAAAACTTTAAGGTCATAAGCACATATTAAGAATACAACTGTAGATACAAAGCAAACTTAACTTTCTTTCTTGCTCTTTATATATAGCATTTTACAATATCAACATTATTACATACTAAATGACTAAATGAGTCACTGAAGTTCATATTTAAAGAAAACTTGAAGTACCAGAAAAGCCTAAAAATAACAAAAGTATTATGAAATTAAAATTTACAAAAAATATTGACAATGTTACATATTAAACACCGATTAAATTAACAAAATTTTGAGTATTACTTTTTTAAAGCATTTCTATGTTTTTGAATGTTATTTTTGTTTCACAAGATAATACTTTTTTTTTCAGATTGAGTTTATTTACTTTATCAATAAAAGGTATTTTCTTTAATGATACTTTTCAATTACCTATATTTTTATTATTTGATAGTATAAAATAAATCTAGTCACTATTTTAATTTTTTCTTCAAAACCTCTCATAGATGCTTTGGAACCATTTTCCTCATTATAATTTTATATTTTATTTTACACCCAAAGAGTATTTGTTCTAATAATATGGGGTTATCCATATTATCAGCACAGGTTGTCTCCTATAACATGGACAAGCTAATGAGTTTCTAAAACATGTTTAATGGCTGAGTTGGTAAAAACTCGTGATCCTTGAACACATCTAGTTCATTGAATATAAGCAGAAAAAATTTCTTTTGAAGGACTTTTAATTACTGGGCAGAAAAATATCTTTTTCTGTTTCAATACAATTCTGCATTTTCTCCCTCAGAACTTGTACTCTATATAGATATGCTCTATCTATATAGAGTACAAGTTAATATATATATATATATATATATATATATATATATATATATATATATATATATATATATATATATATATATATGTATATATATATATATATATATATATATATATATATATATATATATATATATATATATATACATATATATATATATATATATATATATATATATATATATATATATATATATATATATATATATATATATATATATATATATATATATATATATATATATATATATATATATATATATATATATATATATATATATATATATATATATAGGGGCTGATCCAGACCATCAAGTAAGGGGAGGCAACTTTTCAGCAAACCTACAAATCACTTTTAATATTCGTTTGAATATTACTTTTTTTCTGTCATAGTCTTTTACTTATACTTACTATTATCTTTACTTCATTGAGAACACATAGATTCTAATGATGCTAATTTAGCCTATAATTTGTTTTTAAAACATTTTTTGAAATTTATGTTATGAATTTTTCTCAACATAAAATACTAAAAAAAATAATAAAGATTTCACGTCACCATGGATTACAAAAGTTCTCAGAAAAAGTTCTAAAGTTAAGCAAAAGTTGTATATAAAGTATTTAAAAACGAGAACATTAGAAAGTAAGACAATTTATAAGAATTACGCTAAGAAATTTGAAATCCAAAGAAAAAATTTGAAAAAAGATGCTATATAAATTTACTAGAAAAGTATAAAGAGAATTCAGAGCAAACATGGCAAATTAATGGCTATTAAAATTGATAATAAAATATTTTATGATCCGAGAGTGGTAGCAAATAAAATGAATGAATTCTTTACTTCAGTTGGACCAAATTTAGCAAAGAAAATTTTTAATATAAATAAAATAATAAAAAGATGTAGTTTTCCTTTAGTATCTTGTCTAAATTCTTTTGAATTGTCTTTTAATGAATTTGATAGAGCTTTTAAAATGCTAAAGCAAAATAAAGCAGTCGGTCCTGATGATATCAATGGAAATATTGTTATTTATTCCTATGATATCATAAAAAATATCCTTTTTAAAATATTTAAATGTTCAATTCAACAAGGAATTTTTCCTGATGAATTAAAAATAGCTAGAGTTTCACCAATATTTAAAGGTGGAGACTTAATGTTAGTAATTACCGTCCAATATCTGTTCTCTCTGTTTTCTCAAAAATTATAGAGAGAATTCTTTATAATAAAATTTTGAATCATCTTTCTCAAAATAATATCCTATACAAAAATCAGTATGGATTTAAAAAAATAACTCCACTGAACACGCTATACTTCAAATAACACAATATATTACTGAATCATTTGAAAATTTCAAGTTTACTTTAGGCATTTTTATTGACTTGTCTAAAGCCTTCGATACGATTGATCATAAAATCCTATTTAAAAAACTTAAATAT